GGGGGGGGTCGGCGATGAAAACGAGCACAGGAGGTATTAGAAGAGGAAAAAATAATAAATGAAACAGTAATAGGCGATGGAGTAAACTATGCCACACGATTTAATGAATCCGGTTGTGCACTGGCGTCTTTCAATCTGAACTTGTCGCGCATTCATCCCCTCTACTTGTGAATGAAGAGGGTGCACTCCATTGAAATCGAAATGATTCATGAATTTGTATTTTTGGGGAATTTCCGAGAGCCATTCAAGTGATTTTAGTCAGCCAACTGTGTTGACACTGACATCTGGGTAATTTTTACTTCCTTTGAGTTCTCATAAGCCGTTATTTGATTCGGTGTGTAGTTGTGTGACTCGGAATCCGTTGAAATGGAAATTAAAGAGCTCATTCTGATGTTGGGGACCTGTCAAATAGTCGGGGAACAGGTCACGCCATGGAAAATCTTTCACAACTCTGGGGCCACAGTCATATTATTTCTCACATGATTGTACATTAGGTGACACGTGTCTAACAATTATTACATCAGTTGGGGTCACATCGATCAACTTGGCACAATGGGCTCTCGATTGATCTACGATTTTAGTTTTTCTCTCCCTCTTTATGCTTTCAGTGTTTCCCTAGATGTGATCGCAGTAGAGCCTATGAGACACACGAGTGCACTTGCGACAAAACGCTGGGGTCGTGGAGGCAAGAAAAATATATGTAACGGAGGTAACGCGATCATCAAGGCGTGACATTCAGAGACTGCAGTCGAGGTAAAAAACTGGGCGAGGTGAGTGCCCAGACAAGCTGCGGATATTCACCACTCACACGTGGAAACCAGTGACGCTGCGAGACGAGACGAGACACGGCATCGTCTCGTTTCGTCTCGTATCGAAATACGAGAGCAATTCCTTCTCTCGTCTCGTCGAGAATTGACAAATTTTCTCGCCTCGTCTTGTCTCGTCTCGTCTCGTCTGTTTTCTATCATTGTCTCGAATGATTTGTCTCGTCTCGTCATGTCTCGTTTGTCTCGTCTCGTCTCGTTTCTCTCACGTGTCGCGGCATCCCTAATTGAGAAATTTTCTAGTCTCGTCTCGTCTTGTCTTGTCTCGTTTGTTTTCTATCATTGTCTCGGATGATTTGTCTCGTCTCGTCATGTCTCGTTTGTCTCGTCTCGTCTCGTTTCTCTCACGTGTCGCGGCATCCCTAATTGAGAAATTTTCTAGTCTCGTCTCGTCTCGTTTCTGTCATTGTCTCGAATGACTCTTCTCGTCTCGTCTCGTCTTGTTTCTCTCGCGTCTCGCGGCATCACTAATTGAGAGATTCTCTAGTCTCGTCTCGTCTCGTTTCTGTCATTGTCTCGAATGACTCTTCTCGTCTCGTCTCGTCTCGTCATGTCTCTCGTCTCGTTTGTCTCCTCTCGTCATGTCTCTCGTCTCGTTGGTCTCGTCTCGTCTCGTTTCCAAAAATCCTCACATTCCGAAATGCTCGAAATTAACGAGCATTAAAACCGTTTCTGAAAACTCTCGATAAGAATCCAAACTAGTCGAAATATCCAGGCACGGAGGGGCGGGAGGGG